TTTTTAACGTCAAGCAATTCTCTGCTATATGCGTCGAACTAAAACTTTGACCTTTTGCAACGTTTTGATTTAAGTAGCCTATTATTAAAATGATTCAGATATCGCACGCCCTTGCGATATGCATATTGCGATATTTACATGTGCGATATTTCGATAATTTCGATATATCGTGCAGCCCTAAAAGGGACAAAAAACAAATCTGTCATTTTAAATGCAAATTTGTGTTTTTCACTTTATTCACTAAAAACTCTACTTCCACTCATTCTAATAATAATTTAGTTTTCATATATTATAACTGTATCATGTTGTTTTGTCGGTCTGTCCAGGCGATGAATATCCTGACGTCTGTGTTGCTGCTGTATGCTAAAGAAGAAGAAGCTTTCTGGCTGCTGGTCGCTGTGTGTGAACGAATGCTCCCAGACTACTTCAACCGTAGAATTATTGGTATGTGTGTGTGTGTGGTTATACACATCTCATACCCGGGAGGTGATTGACTCATCTTAATAAACTTGTAGGCTGCCATTATAACACCGTGCCAATGGTGTCGTAATTGGATTATAATTACTGAGCTTTGTTAAGGTGCTCCACAATTTTTTTTCATGTTAAGTACTTCCTCCTATTCTGTCTGTGATTAGTTGTGCCATTCTGTTTGTTGCTGCAGTGGCAGTTTACTGAATCTATTTGTTTTTGAATACAGTATTATTCATGTCTCAGTGTGTGTGTTTTCCAGGAGCCCTGGTGGACCAGGCTGTGTTCGAGGAACTGATCCGTGAGCATCTAACCCAGCTGACCGAACACATGACGGACCTGTCATTCTTCTCGTCAGTGTCGTTGTCATGGTTCCTGACTCTCTTCATCAGCGTACTGCCAATAGAGAGCGCTGTGAATGTTGTCGACTGCTTCTTTTATGATGGTATCAAAGCCATCCTGCAGCTTGGCCTTGCTGTCCTTGACTACAATATGGACAATCTGCTTTGTTGCCATGACGACGCAGAAGCTGTCACAGTCCTCAACAGGTGATTGGAACGTTGTCCTCTTAACATGGCCAAAGCATGATTGTAGCAAGCCGTGTTGTCATTATGTTATGTGCAATATAAAATTAAAAGGATTTTTAAACAGAAAAGGTGTCACAAAAATTTACTTACATTATATGATATTATATGATATTATATGATATTATATTATGTTATGTTATGTTATGTTATATTATTGAAAGGAACATTTTTCCATGCTGTGTGACTCATGTAGCAAAGATCAGGAATGATCGAACTCAAGAGTGTCTTTGGATGACAAGCTGCTGTTTAATTGTAAACAGCATCAACTTCTTTAATTTTTGCAGTGGATTTTTTTTAGTTTACAAGCTTAACCTGTATTTAAATCTGATTTTATCCTTCAGGTTTTTTGACAGTGTCACAAATAAAGACAGTCCCCTGCCAGCTACAGTACAGCAGGCATCTGCAACAGCCAATGACAAATCAATACAAAAGGTTGACATCAGCGATCTCATCAAAGAGGCATATGAGGTAAAGCTACACACTTTAATATACTGTAGTGAACATTAAAATCTGTTTTCTTTTTGATGTCTTTAGCTCTGGTTTTGTCAGAACATGTAGTAAACGCAGAATTTTTATTATTTTTAAGGTAGTGAATTTATAACAAACACTCTGTAAAAGTGACTAATAAAATTAATCTGATGTATTTGTTAAGGCTTTGATAATTCACACCTGTACTCATGGTGACAGATTTTATAGGAATGTACATTTTTCAGCACTTTCAAACTGGTCAGTTGCATGGAATGATGAAAACCCCCCCCTGACAGGAGTTCTGTGGTCAGCAAACCGAAGGTCTAAAATAGATGGTTGCTCAGACTAATGGAACTTTTTTTTTATTTTAGAAATATGGAGACATTCGAACAGAGGAAGTGGAAAACATGCGGAAGAGGAACAAGCTGTATGTCATTCAAACACTAGAAGACACAACAAAACAAAATGTAGTAAGTACAAAAGCCATGCTGTATACTCCTTAATTTCATAATATAATATAATAATAAACTAAGCATAAAAAATAAAAAAAAGAAGATTCTGCATATGCATTTGTAGGTTTTAGATTTTGATGCTGATTATCTAATTCATAATGGAGAAAAAAGAAACATACAAAATAGAAGCAGCATTCATGCCTCATGCATAGAGTTATGCATGATGCATTAAATTTATCAAAAGAGTCAGTAAAGACATTTAAAAATGTTACAAAAGATTTCTGTTTCAAATAAAAGCTGTTCTTTGATTTCTGAATAAAATATTGTCAAATATTTTGAATTGTAACAGTATTTCACAATATTAATGTTTTACTGTATTTGTGATCAAATAAATGCAGCCTCGGTGAGTATAAGACTTCTTTCAAAAACTTTGAAAACTCTAACCGACCCAGAACCTTTGAATGGTAGTGTAATTTGCATAATTTTTTCTTTACACGTTGTTTGCACATAAAGATTATAGTCCATTGTAAGATGTTTAATTGTCTGTCATTTTTGTGTCTTATTGCTGCAGCTGCGTGTTGTTGCTCAAGATGTGAAATTCAGTGCTGCTCAGCTGGATGAGCTCTACATGCTTTTTAAGGTGAGTTGCGCTAACAAATTTGTGCACTTCCATGACTGAAGGCCTCAAAATGCTGCTGCAACCACACAAACTGTTAAAGCTTGTGTCTTTTGACTGTTTGTGTGTTATAGAAGCAGCACTTTGTGAGCTGTTACTGGTCAGTATGTAGTCCTGCCCTGCAGAACCATGACCCCAGCCTGCCATATCTGGACCAGTATCAGCTAGATCAGTCCCAGTTTAGTAGCCTGTTTAACCTCCTGCAGCCGTGGACCACACACACGCATGTGCGCTCACTGGCACGATCAGCCTTCCGGCTTCTGGACGAGAATGGAGACGGACTTGTGAACTTCAAAGAATTCATGTGCGGTCTGGGTAAGAGGAGCCTGCCCTGAACTAAATTGACTGCCCTTTGACCTTTCACCTCAGTACATAGCAGCTTTCCTTAAACCTGCCAGATTCATTCAAGAGTGTGTGTGTGTGTGTGTGTGTGTGTGTGTGTATTGCAGATATCCTATACAACAGATCTTTCACAGAAAAACTAAAATTTCTCTTCAAACTGCACCTTCAACCAGGTAAATTAATTGCATGCATATGATTAATCTTTATATTGTATATCTATACACCAAGATGTTCATGTCTTTCTTTCTTCAGTCGAAAAGGTTTTTGAGGAAAACATTCCAGGACTTTTCTCCATATAATGGACTTCAATGGCGGCCAAGTTGAATGTCCAAATAGCAGTTTCAATGCAGCTTCAAAGGGCTCTACATGATCCCAGCCGAGGAATAAGGGTCTTAATTAGTGAAACGAAAAAATATATATACGTTTTAACCACAAATGCTTAACTTGCACTAGCTCTGCGATGTGCGTCTGCGACTTCACACATTACGTAATCTTGTTGGAAAAGTCGTGCGTGGTTAATTCTTCATCTTTGTACTCTGATTCAAAAAGGTAGGGTAGGGCGAAAAGCTCCATCTCATTTTCTCCTCCAACTTCAAAATCATCCGATATTATGGTTTTACCTTTTTTTTGTAAAGGGCGTTTGACTATCTTTGCACATTCGCTTTGTAAACACTGGGTTGGTACTTCAGCCTATGTCACGTGTGTGACCTTTCCAACGCGACTGCGTAATACGTAAGGTCAAGCTAGTGCAAGACGAGCATTTGTGGTTAAAAAGTATATAGATTTTTATTTTTTTTAGAAAATGACTGATTGTTTTGCTAGATAAGACCGTTATTCCTCTGCTGGGATGAGGACCTTTGAAGCTGCATTGAAACTGCAGTTTGGACCTACAGACTGTTGGGTCCCTTTAACGTCCACTATATGGAGAAAAATTCTGAAATGTTTCCCTCAAAAACCTTGATTTCATTTCGACTGAAGAAAGACATGAACATCTTGGATGACATGGGGGAGAGTAAATTATAAGGAATTTTTTATTCTGGAAGCGAACTAACCCTTTATGCAGTCTATTTAGCTCAATAACTCTTAAAGGGGTCATATGATGCGATTTCAATTTTTCCTTTCTCCTTGAAGTGTTACAAGCTCTTGGTGCATAAAGAAGATCTCTAAAGTTGCAAACAC